AAGTTGGTATAAACGGAGCTCAGCACCGTCTGGTAGGGTCCGGTGCGCTGTCCTCCGGGGTCAGTGCCCCCGGTGACCGTCCAGAGTGGCTGGCCCCGGTGGCTTTGTGATGCTCGGAGTGGATCTGAACTTCTCAGGGTTTGCTTCCATCTCTAGACCACGTGCTGCTGTCACTGCCCCTCCCCAGAGCCCAGAAATGGTGCGCGGGTTGGGAGGGAGGAAGGAGCTCCCTGCCTCCTGGGGAAGGACGGGCAGCGTGGCCGCCCTGCGCTGGCCTGCAGGAATCGGGTCCGTGGTGATGACCAGGGTCGGGAGCGAGGAGGTTTCCTAACACTTAGCGAGGGAATATTCCCAATTATTCAAGAAGTCAGGTCACTGGGCTTTTCACCTTTCACTTAGCTTTGATTCTGACCATCTGAAGGGAAATTGCCTTCCTGTGGCCTCCGGTTCATCCTTTACAAACAGGCCCGCCTGTGCCAGGCATGGGGACACGGCCATCCGCACCGCCCCGCTAACTTCCATCTTCACCGGAGCCGACACACACAGCTTGCATTGGTGCGAGAGCATTTAATTACATTTTATTGACATAATGCAAACCATTAAGCCGCTGAGCTCCAATGTAAAGGCTGCACACACCCCAGGAGCGGGGTCCTCCCGGCCTGGCCCTCCTTCCCCCCCAAACCATCACCCAGGAGGGACCCTGTGGGCCTTGGAAGCCTTTTGCTGAGGTAACACTGAAGGTACAGTGAGTGTCAGACGAGTGAATTCCCTCCTATTGATCACATCCCAGTCCTCGCCCTGGCCCGCTCAGTGGTTAGAGCGAGGCATTAGCCCGGGAGGGTCACGTTCAGTCCCAGTCATGGCATGTGCCTGGGCTGCAGGTTCGATCCAATCGATGTCTCTCTCACATCGATGTTTCTCTCTCCCCTCCCCTCCCCTCCCCTCCCCTCCCACTCCACTCTAAAATCAATGGGAAAAATATCCATGGGGGAGGATTAACAAAAAATAAAAAAATTACAGTTCTACACAAGAGTTCAGATAGCTTGACTACTAGTGCTTCAGACACGAATCTTTATTCTTATTTCAGAGATTTTCAGGAGGTAGATAAGCATGCAGGTGTCGGTTTACGTGGGTAGGTTTAAAATCACGGGGTTTGCCGTGTTCCTAAATCAGTTTCTTTTTACACACTTTGCCCCTAAATGTGGTACCTTCTGTCTCTGTGGGTCTGGGAGTAGCTGTGTAGGTAATTGTTAAATGCAGCTGAAAAGACCATTTATCGCCCTGAATAAACAGAAATCAGGTTCTAAAACCAGATTGAGAGAAGGAAATTACATCACACTTTTAAATAAGGAAGCGCTGGGCAGAACTGGATGAGTCGAGTGACAAAAATGTGCCCCTCCTCCTCTGTGGGCTGCTTCTGAGATTTATTAATGAGATCTGGTGGCCAGGTAAGCAGATCTAGGTTATTGTCTTAAGGTAGCCTGGTTTTTTAAAGTTCCAAAGAGACCGTCCAAAGGTGAAGTTCACCTTAAGGAACGTGCAGGGTGCTTACGGCGTTGTTTTGACTCTAACCGTAAAGAGACAGTAGGTGCCTTATCAGCCAGAAGAAGTAACGTGGGAGCCAGGGGGGACCCCGCTTTCAGGAGCGCCCCGACTGCCTTAAGTGAACACCAGCTGCGCTCGCACTGTTCCCGGGGTGCACACTGGCCACTTTGGTTTGGGGGGAGGATGGAATGGAACGTGCCTGCCTGCTCTGCCCTGAATGGCCCTTAGAATCCTCTTTTTCCCTTGGTTCTCTGCTGATTTGTAGTGTGTGAGTCTTTCACATAATCACTTTTTTTTTTTTTTAAGAGATGAATGTTTTCTCAACATCCACGTCACTATTGGAAACTGGTGCGGGACTTCCCGGGAGCCAGGCTGTCCTAGATTCGGAGAGTGGGCAGGAGCAGGTGGCTCAGCTGGCCCTGAGGAGCAGTGAGCCCTCAGAGATCCGGCAGAGGAGGAGCTGGGGCCCGAGCGGAGCAGCCAGTGAGCAGGAAGAGGGACCACGGAGCTGGGGGGCTGAGCTAGAGGGGCTGAGACTCGGGTTAAAAACGGCCCCTCTAGGAAAGTGGACCTCCTGGACCAGCAGTGTTCAGCCTGTTCACCTCATGGGACATCAACTACTAAAATTCTGCTGCATCAGAAACTACATTTGGGGGTATAATGTTGATTCATTCACACTGGATGGCTGTTGCTGTGTTGGCTATTGTCATTTTTTGGACAGTTTTTTAAGGGAAAAGCGGTCGGTGCCCCTACTGAATCGTTAGGTATCACCTGCTTTAAACATTCTTGGGGCACCAGCTGCACATCGCTGACCTAGACCCTGAGCTGGCTGGGAAAGTAGGCGGGGTCTGAAGTGAGTGACAAGAGCCCCGTTTGTAGAGTTGGGGGTGCCAGAGGACCACCCACATGCAAAGATCACCACCAGGCAATGGATGCCGGAGCCGGGGCTGGAGCCAGGATTGGGGCGCTCTGTGCAGAGGTGAAGGATTAAAATGGGGAGGGGGGGGTCTAAAAGGACCCCCCAAGAAACATGCCGGGAAAAGTCGTTCGCATCTGGGACGGCATCGGCTGCATTTGACACTAGAGCCGAGCAAGGAGTCAGGAAGAGAGCGAGCCCTGGGGTCCCAGGGACCAGACTGCCTGGGCTCACCGCAGGCCCTCTGCCCGGTGCGGCTTCCGCAGAGGTCTGTGCTCCTTCCTCTGATGCTGTGAGGAAGGGAGCAGGCTTGGGTACACTGCAGCGCGTTTCCTTTCTAACCTGAGGGTAACCGAGGGCTTACCCCCACCCCACCCCCACCCGCCTGTGGCTGCATACTGAGACCTGAGAGCGATGCAGGCGGCTCAGAGGCTCACCCTCAGTTTCCCGTCCGCGGGCACAGACCACCTGGCGGGTTGCTCCCCCTGATCCGCAGCGTGGAGTGTTTTCCGAAAGAAGAGCATAAAATTACATTGCCCTCCGCGCTCCCTGCTAGCGAGTAGGAAGTTCCGACGTTTCATAACGCGCCGTTCACAATTCCCCATTGAGCCGTGGAGGCAGGTCACCTCCGATGAATGCACAAAGACACTATTGTGGCCAGGAGCGAGCTGGCGCAGCGAGCACAATTCTTTTTAGACTAAAAAAATTTTTTTTCTTAAGAAAGCTAACAAGTAGGTGATGGGAACAATGAGTAAAAAATAACTTTTTCTAGAACATACACATAACTTCCAGGGCCATTGAGATGTAAGTTTAGGATCGAGGCGATTTTGCAGAGGCCGTAGTTACACAATCGCCCTGTTGAAAGCTCAGATGTCGGTGGTGAGGAGCCGACAGGCAGTAATTACTAGCCCTTGGCCCGCGGACAGGTGGGGGCTGGGCTCGCCCGCCTCGCCCTGCCATCTGGGCGCAGCCTCCACACGTGGGCCCTGCCGCGCGCCCTGCTCCTGCCCACCCGGTTCTCACGTGGAGGCGGCAGGCGCTCGTCCGGGGTCTGCAGTGCCTGCAGGCGCCTGCAATGTGTGTTCCCTGACGTGGGGTTAGATTGCTCCCAGCTTTACTGATTCCGGTGGAGGAGGGAAAGCACTGCATCTCAGTGATCTGAAAACCAAACCTCCCGCTAACTGAGCTTTACCAAGTGATGTTTTCTTCTCTAGAGAGCAACTAAATACTCTGTGAAATACTATGTTAACCTGTTTGACTCCCTGCCTGAGATTTAAATGTTTCCGATGGACCCAAACATTATCTATCTATCTATCTTTCTCTCCTTTTCTGTGGAAAAAGCAAACCCTGTGCATGTACATTCTGACACCAATGGCAATAATAGACGTCACTATACAGTCACTGACTGAGCTCCCTCTGGGCAGCGATGGCTAATGATGGGACCAGCCTGTATCTGAGCTCAGTCAGCTCAGAGGGGTCAGATCTGTCCCTAAATCAAAAAAAAAAAAATTGCCTGTTGCCCCCTCCCGCCCCAGGTCTGGCCCACCACCCTCGGTGTGCACGCTTTTGGCGAGAATGTGAGAGCAGTGTAGAGTGTACGTACACATCTCCGAGGGGCTCTGTACACAGCTGGGTCCTACCCCGTAGGTTATCTAAAGACGGCGCCCACAGAGATGCCAGTCACGTTGGCAATGATGCGATCGTGAACAATAAAGGAGCGTTGAGAAGAGGCAGAGGGCCTGGCCGGGCCAGTGACAAGCGGCATCCTGTGCCCTGACGGGCCGCTGGTCTGATGCCCGGGCGGGCGGGAAGGCGTGGAGGTTCAGGTTCAGTGCCCAGTTGGGATACATCCCATAGGCAACCAACTGATGTTTCTCTCCCCCACTCCCTCTCTCTCTGGGAGAGGGAGGGATCCCTGAAGCTGAGGAGTCGCTGGCCTCCGTGCCCAGGCCTTGCAGCAAGGCCCTCGGAGAAGGGAATGTGAAGAATGCTCAGGCCAGGGAAGCCGGCCAGCCGCCCGCGGCCAGCGGGCAGAACCTGGTTTACAGGATCGGGAAGTTGCGTCTTCCTGTGTTCCTTTCTCCCGAGCAAGGCGCCCCCGGAGGGTTTGTCTTCCCGGGCCAGCCCTGAGATACAGCCCCCGAACTGGCGCTGGCTGTGGGCTAGCGAGGCATGGGCTTCGTGCGCCTGAGTCCTGCAGCGGCCGCAGGGGGCAGGGGGAGTGGCGAGCGTCCAGGGGGCTGCCCCTGCACCCCCACCAGGAGGGCCACTCTTCCTGGCCACGGGTATTTCTCTCTGCTCAAAGCACTGCACATCTTAGACCAGGACTTGGGAAACTTGCTTTCAGTGTGTGCGTTTTAAGTTCCCTCACAGGAGGGAGGACTGGCTGTACCGCGGGAGAACGGGGAGAATGCGTCTCTGTGCAGCGCTTGGATGCCGGAGGGGGTTACTGACGGTGTTTCTGAGCTGTCCGCACCCTCTCATCCTTCCCCCCTCCAGGGACCAGACGCTGCGTGCCGCCTGACGCCCAGGCTGCAGGATGTCCACCGCGGGAGTCGCTGCCCAGGAGATCCGCGTGCCGCTGAAGGCATTTCTGCACGATGGCCAGGCCCTGGGGAGCCTGAACGCATGCTGGGGCCGCCGCCGGGAGCTGGGGAAGTGAGTGGGGGCACGGGCCGTGGGGGGCGCGGGCTCCGCGTGTGGATGGAGCGGATGGGGTGGGGTGGGTCACTGGTCTCTGACAGAGATGTCTTCGCTGCATTTTAGTAACTTCCTGAACATCCACCCGATCGCCATGGCCTACAACCTGAAGGCGACCACTCAGGCCCACCTGACGTCTCTAGGTATGGTCCCGCAGGTCCGGGGGAGGGAAGGGGACGGGGGGGCGGGGAGGGAGGTGGCAGGTGGCAGAGGGCTGTTAGCGGGTCCAGCTTTGCTCTTTAAAAAAGAGGAAACAGCCGACACCGGTTTGGACTGAAAGGTCCCAGGTTCGATTCCGGTTGGGGGCATGTACATTGGTAGCGGACACATCCCTGGTAAGGGGTGTGCAAGAGGCAGCTGGTTGATGTTTCTCATCGACGTTTCTAGCTATCTCTCTCCCTTCCTCTCTGTAAAAAATCAATAAAATATATTTTAAAAAAAGAGGAAACAACCTGACTGTTCCAGCAGCAGTGTGCCCTCTGGTGGCAGCAGGTCTGAAGATACCCTGTCCCTCTCACACTCACGTCCCTGGTCCCGGGCAGGATGCCCCGCAGGCGGTCTGTCCGGCCGCACACAGCCGTGTGCGAGGGCACAGGAGTGGGGATGTGGGCGGGAGCTCCGAACGGCGCACAGTACACCACACGGCCCTCGTCATGTGGACGTCCTATCCCTTTGGCTTTTGCCGGGAGCTGCTGTCACACTGCAGGCTGCCACCCTCGTGGCGTTCCCGGGCGCCAGCCGGGGGCTCTCTCTTATCTCGGCCCCGCCCTCTTGTGACCTGGCGCTGCGGGTGGCACTCAGGGAAATTATATGCTGCCGTCTTCTGCGAATTGTGCACATGTCACAGAACCTGCCTGCGTGTGTAGGCGTGTGCCCTGCGCATGTGGGGGAGATGGAAGAGATAGTCTGTTCTTTGAACCAGATCATGTGCGCTCACAATCTCCAGGCTAATTACACCTGTGGGGCGGCGCGGTGTCTGCGGCCCGTGACGGTGCAGGCGGCCGCCCCGAGGAGAGGGCAGGCAGTGGGCTGCCCCCACGCGGGCACTGCTGGTCCTCACTACCCCGTCCTTTGCAGGGCGCGCCTCGGCACCTGCCCCGACCAGCGGCCACCGCCTCGCTGAGCACGGCCCCTCTCAGAAGCCCAGCCTGCCCCCGCTCGTCCTGCCCCCGAGCGAGAGCGCGGGGCCCCTCGACGAGGACCCGGTGGTGTGTGGCTTTAAGAAACTGTCGGTCAATGGGGTGAGTGCCCCCACGCCCCCGCTCACGCCCATGAAGAGCGGCCCGTCCCCGGTGCCCTGCATGGCGGGCTCCCGGCCGCTGCCCCCGCTGCCCATCTCCGAGGGCCACTCGCTGGACGACACGGACTGCGAGGTGCAGTTCTTCACCTGCTCCGACACGGCCTTGCTCCTGGAAGACGGCGCGCCCCCCGAGTTCAAGCCCGGCGCGCCGGGCCGGCGGAGCTTCCGCGGCTGCGGGCAGATCAACTACGCCTACTTCGAGACCCCGACCGTGTCCGTGGTGGACCTCAGCCAGGCCGCCGAGCAGACGGCGGGGGCGCAGCCCTCGGATCTGCCCGCGCCGCAGAGCCACCGGCGGCTCCGGCGGTCGCACTCGGGCCCCGCCGGCTCCTTCCACAAGCCGGCCGTCAGGGTGCACGGCCACGTCCCCCGAGCCTCCCCCCACCCCGACACAGACAAGCCCGAGGTGCCCCCGCGGGTCCCCATCCCCCCGCGGCCCGTCAAGCCCGATTACAGACGGTGGTCGGCGGAGGTCACGTCCAGCACCTACAGCGACGAGGACAGGCCCCCCAAAGTGCCGCCCAGGGAGCCCCTGTCACGGAGCAACTCCCGCACCCCGAGCCCCAAAAGCCTTCCGTCTTACCTCAACGGCGTCATGCCCCCCACGCAGAGCTTCGCCCCCGACCCCAAGTACGTCAGCAGCAAAGCGCTGCAGAGACAGCTCAGCGAGGGCTCCGCCAGCCGGGCGCCCTGCATCCTGCCCATCATCGAGAACGGGAAGAAGGTCAGCTCGACGCACTACTACCTACTGCCCGAGCGGCCGCCCTACCTGGACAGATACGAGAGGTTCTTCATGGAGGCCGAGGAGGCGAGCGCCAGCTCCCCGGCGCAGCCCTTCCCCGCCGACGGCGGCCTCGCCGCGGCCCCCGGGCCCAGGGCGGGCGTGGGCGGCCCCGGGAAGCGGAAACACTTGTCCTACGTGGTCTCTCCGTAGCCTCGGGCCCGGCGCAGCAGAGGGCGGAGTTTTCCGGTCTGAGGTCCGGGAAGGGGTTCCAGGTGCAGAATAAACTTGGACTCTGTGCAGAGAGGTGCTGTCATGCTGAGGACCCCGTGTCCAAGCCCACTGCGGTGGGAAGGGCAGACGGGGGCACTCAGGCCCACAGCATATGCCGTAGGAAACGCGCAGCCTAGCCGTAGCCGGTTAACCAGTCAGTCACGTCTCAGCGAGGTGTCTGCAGAAGAAAACGCAGCCGGACCAGGGCTCCTGAGAGACCGCGCACAGCGAAGGAAGCACGCACAGTGTTTGGAGTCACAGAGGATATTTTTGCCGAGACGTTTGGAGATTTCTGGCTCTTTGGTCTTCATGTTGGTTGGATGTATTTTGCAGCCTTTTCCGTGGGGAGCGGCTGTGTCCTTACCGTGGCTGTACCTTCCCAGTTAAAACCGCCCAGACCCGAGACGTGCAGACTTCACTTCCTGTCGCTGCGGGGGGACGGGCAGCTTACCTGGCAACCATGCTTCCACCCGGACGTGTCCCTCCTCTTCCTTCAGCCCAGTGGCCTCCGTCACGCTGCCTCACGGAAACGGGGGACGTGGTGGGCTCCACGCCACGGGTGTGCCTCTAAGCAATGGTGAAACAGCCACGTGACTGAGAGTGACTGGGAATGTGTGTGTTGGGGTTTCAGACTATTAATAAACATACAACACAAGCTGGCCTTGTGTTGCTGGTTCCTACTCAGTATTTCCCGGGAATTGTCGGCTTTTGAAGTAAAGCCTCTGACCAAGAGCGACTGTGTCTTAATACGAGCGTCCCGTCAGCACCGCCTGCTTCCAGGCCCACGGCCGCGCTCACACTGCCTGCACAGCCCCCGCTGCCCCGCACAGTCCGGCCCGGGCGGCCGAGGCGCTCCCCGCAGAGAGAGGCGCATGGCAGTAAAACAGCTGTTTACAGTCCCACTGCTGCGTGCTGTCCGAGCTCCGTGAAGCGGATGTTAGTCTGAACTAAATGAAGGTTAAACCATGCTTTAGGAAAATGCACTGATGTCTGCATTACGTGTACAGTATTGGACAAAGAATTTATCCATTTTTGTTGCATTATTTTGAATATTGTCTTCATTTTAATAAAGTTACAGTACTTATTTATGATACTGTTAACAATGTTTCTTGCCTACATGCCCATGACCTCTGGTGGGACCCAGGCCAGAGCCAGGCTGTGTGAACCCCACCTTCAGCGAGGCAGACTGGCCCCATGGATGACAAAGTGCTGTCTTCCCACGACTTGATCTGCAGCTCATTTTTTTGCCGTTTGCCCTTCTCCACTGCCTTTGCTTTGTATTGTGGTGGAAAATATAAAGATAATTATAGTCTAACTAGAAGCCCAGTGCACAAAATTCAGGCATTTAGGGGGGGGGGGGATTCCTTAGCCCAGCCTGCACCCTCTTGCAGGCCAGGAGCCCTCAGGGGATGTCCAGCTGCCGGCTTAGCCCGCTCCCTGAGCCATCAGTCGGACATCCTTAGCGCTGCTGCAGAGGCCGGAGAGGCTCCCGCCACCAGTGTGAGCCCAGCCAGCTCTGTGGAGTGGCGTGCCCCCTTGTGGGAACACACTGACCATCAGGGGCAGCTCCTACACTGAGTGTCTGCCCCCTGGTGGTCAATGCATGTCATAGAGACTGGGCATTCCGCCCTTTGGTCGATTTGCATATTAGCCTTTTATATAGGAATTTGAGGCCCGATGCACAAAATTCGTGCAAGAGTAGGCCCTTGTGGCCGCCTCAATCCTGCAGCTGCAGTCCTGGTTTCAGCTGGAAGGTTGTCCAGACGGCCATTCAGTTGATTTGCATATTACGCTTTTATAGATTTTTTTAAATGTTTTTATTGATTTCAGAGAGGGAGGGGGACAGAAACATCAATGATGAGAGAGAATCATTAATTGGCTTCCTCCTGCCCACCTCACTCTGGGGATTGAGCCTGCAACCCGACCATGTGCCCTTGACCAAGAATCGAACCATGACCACCTGGTTCATAGGTCGCTGCTCAACCACTGAGCCATGCTGATCAAGCCGTTTATAGGCTAATTTTTAACAAGATCATTTCCACGTCTGTTTCTCTCTTACCTCTGGGGTTGCCTTTGATTTTAAGACAACCTGCATTTTCCTGTTATTTCCTGCCTGTGCTGATGTGTGCAGCCATGCTAACACCATGTGACCAGAACCCTGTCCACAGCACCGTGTGCCAGCTCAGTCCTCAGCCCGCACACTGAGCAAAGTGCCCTCCAAAGCACTCTCACGACATCGCTCAGCCTCGGCCGACAAACACAGCTGCTGCGCAGACAGTCCCAGTGGGGAGAGCTGTCTGTCCGCTGCCACTTGTGCGCTGAGGCCTGGAGGCAGGTATTATCTGGAAACAAAGTCAGATCAGGAGACAGGCTCCAGTCCTGCCCTCACCTCCTGCCAGAAGGCTTCCCTTCGCTTAGAGCCTCTTTCCCGTCAGCGTGGGGCCAGGCGGAGCCGGACAGTGCCCTGTGAACCCGAGGGCTGGGTCCGGAAGGACGGGTGGCAAGAAGCAGAGCTGTGGTCAAGGGGATTCTTGTAAGTCAACTCCAAATCAGGTAAATGTTAGTCTGCCCAGGCCGCCATCATCGGAATGCACTGCCTCCCTTATTTTCACCAAGGTCCTCACGCTAACAGAAGTTTCATTCTGTTTATGTCTTCACTATGTTCAAGAGGCTGTTTCTTCACTCTGAGGGGTCCTCGTCCAGAAGAGAGGCCCATAGATCCTTCCAGAAGGTTTCATAGCTGGAGAAAGGAGAGCTAATCCATCTGTCAGAGCTATTCCATCTGTGAGAGCTACTCCCTCTGTCAGAGCTACTCCATCTGCCTCCTGATTCAAAAATCAAAACATGTACTGAGCTAGTCTTATTTTAGTTCTTTATTTCACCACATAACTTACAGTTTTAGGGTATATGGAGTCTTTTTCTTAAACATAAGCTCCTAACATGGTTATTGCATATACAGGTGTTTGTGTGTTGTTGTTTTTTTACTTTTTATTTTCAAATTACAGATTCCCAAGAAGTTTCACAAATAATACATGGAGGTCCCCCTGTACCCATTCCCCCGATTCTCCCACTGCTAACATCGTATCTAATTACAGTCCGTTATCAAAACCAGGAAGTGGACATTGTCATATATAGATAGAAATAGTGACTATCAAAATGGACTTCGGCTCTACTTTTTTTTTTTTAAATATATTTTACTGATTTTTTACAGAGAGGAAGGGAGAGAGAGAGAAACATCGATGAGAGAGAGCCATCGATCAGCTGCCTCTTGCACACCCTCTACTGGGGATGTGCCCGCAACCAATGTACATGCCCTTGACCGGAATTGAACCCGGGACCTTTCAGTCCGCAGACCGACGCTCTACCACTGAGCCAAGCCGGCTTTGGCATCGGCTCTATAATTTACAAATTAATATTGGCATTCTGCTAGGCATTTTGTGCAAAGCTAATAAAGCTTTAAAAACACGTTGCCGTGTAACTACGTTACGGCGATGGTGCCGAGGAGGTAAACTGAGGCTCGCGTAGACAGCCAAGGCTTTCTGCAGGGTCCACGTGCATCAGCTCTCGTGAGCCAGCACTTCGCCCTGAGGGTGCGTGATCAGCGTTTCCTTTAGAGGTTTGGGGCGCTCACACCTGAGGCCTCCCTCCCGTCCTTGTAGACCAACCAGGAGGCGCCTGGCTCTCACCCGGGCCCGGAGCTTGAGGTGTTCCGTCGGCTGGAGGGGACGTCTGGATCCAGGTCCTGCAGGGGCTGGGTCTCGGACCACGGTTCCGGCCCTTTTTCCCTCCCCACACGAGAATCACGGCTTTTGAGAGAAGGTCTGGGGACTTACTTGCGGAAAGTTAGGAGCGGAGAACAGGGTAGAACCGTGGTCGGCAAACCGTGGCTCCTGAGCCACTTGCGGCTCTTTGGCCCTTTGATTGTGGCTCTTCCACAAAATACCACAGCCTGGGCTGTCAGGACACCAGCCACCCTGCCAGGACCCTTTGTTCCTCAAGGTCCACACCGCCTGGCAGGGAGATGGGGTCTGGGGTGGGGGGAGGCTGGGGCCGGGGTTGAGCTGCCGAGGAAGAGCTGAGCTCTGGCCACGGGGCCAGCGAGGGGGGGTCTCCAGTGCCCTCACCCCTCCATCTATGAATCCAGAAAACTGCCAGAGACCCAAGCGTGTCAGCCCCAGCAAGTTCGCCAGAACGACCCGTGTGGCCACACACATCTGCAGCTTCTTCCCCCTCCCTACCCCAACCCCGGAGTAAAAAGGCCCGTGGGAGGGCCAGTCCACGGGAGAGTGCGTGTCGGCCTCCACGGCTGCGCCCCAGGGACACAGGCGCCACCTTCATTCCTTGGAAATAACTTGGATCCCCATCAAGCATCTTAACCACCGCCTGCTGCGAGTTCCCCGCGGTGGGCGGGGCGCCCAGGCCGCCCCCGAGGAGGACACGCCCTCCTTGTGCAAGGCCGAGGCCGAGGAGGCTGGTGGAGGATGGAGGGTGTCTCCGCCCGGCCGCGCCCGGGCTGTGCACAGGAAGCGGGTGGTGAGTATGCCAGGTCCCCGCTGGCCCCGTGTTCCTGCGGGAGCCAGGTTCTTCCTCCGCGTGCTTTTCCACTGAGAGAGACTCCATGCAGGCCCTTGGCTGGGCAGGAGCTCTGGACGGTTCCCCGGGATCGGCCTGGCGCAGAGCCCGGCTCGCCCGCGCCACGGAGGGAACGTGCACCCACGGCCGCCCAGACGCGATAAGACTTGTCTGCGCATCACCGGGCCCGGAGCCTCTAATTACGTCTGGGGCCGCCGGGGCCCGCGTGGCCAGCTCACAGCCCCGCCACGGGGAAGGCGCTGGGGCCCGCCCGCCCGCGCGGGGAGGCGCCGAGCCCGTGCATCACGGCCGGCCATCCGCAGGGTAATCGCCGCGTTCCAGCGACAAGAGTCCCTCTGACAGGCTGTCCTTCCTCTGCACGGCATTGCCACAGCGTTATCGCCCATCAGCGTTCCAGGCCCGACCTACCCCTGTGGAAAGTTCATCTCGGCTCCCCACCTGCTCCCAGCTCGGGCGGCAGAGCCTGGCGCGGCGCCCGCAGCGCCCCCCGGGCCGGCGAGGTGCCCGGTGCGATGGGACTGGCTGCGGTGTGTGATGATCAACAGCCACCAAGTTACCAGGACGCGCCATCTGCCGCGGAGAGAAAGCAGGCAGCAGCTGGGCGATGTCCTCACAACCCCCCCAGGAGCCAGGAGGCCGCGTGTAAGGGAAAGGACGCCTGTCCGAAGCCGAAGCCCGGAGAAAGCCACTGTCCTGGGCCCGAGCCCCCAGGGCCGGGCTGGAGGCTGCGGCGGCGCCGGCTGCCTGTGGGAGGCGCCCTGGCTCAGCCTGTCCGCCCTCAGTGGTGTGGGAGGGTTGGAGGACTGCAGCCAGGAACCTGCTTTGTTTTTGTTTTGGAAGCTGCACCCCACCACCTTACCCCCCCCCAACCCCCAAACTGCATGGACGCTGAATCAGTGCAGACGTGTCCTTACAAGAACCCACACACGTGAGCACTAAGAAGCAGGCGCCGGTCACCGGCTCACGGATAAGGATCTCATCAGAGATCGGCTTGGGCTGGAATGTTCGCTCCCAGGGGTTCCTCTGACACCTGCATTTTGCCATTGATTTTTAGAGTGTGGAAAGGAGAGAGAGAGAGAGAGAGAGGTCTATGTGAGAGAGATACATCGATGGGTTGCTTCCCACACGGGCCCCAGTCTGCCTGGGATCGAGCCTGCCACCGAGGTACATGCCCGGAATCCAACACGGGACCCTTCAGTCCATAGGCCTACGCTCTATCCACTGAGCCATACCAGCCAGGGCGTTTTCCTTCCCTTATTACAGGTGTACTTCACAGGTGTCTCAGATCCACCTCCTGACCTCCAAGTCACCTCTCCTGCCGCCCCGCCCCCAGGACATGGCATCTCCATCTGACCTGGAGTTCAAGCTGGGAATCGGGGATTATCCACCTCCCCCACGTGGCCCCGGCACCCTCAGGTGCCAGCAGCCACCCACCTGGGCCTCCTCCTCCACGAGGGAGCGGGCACCAGGCAGGATCAGCACCCCCGGGCTCCGCGGTCCTTCCGCCTCCGCCGGCCCCGGCTGCCCCTGCACGCCTGGCTCTCCCGCTCAGGCCCCTGCCTGCGTCTCGCTGCCTGGACCGAGCGTGAGCATCCTGGATGCCGCCCGCCTCCCACCAGCTCTGCAGGTGCCCGTGGTCCCTGCGCAGACGCTCCTTCCCCCCGCCTCCTCCCCGCACGTGTCTTCTCGGGGCAGATGCTCCCAGTTTCGCCTTCCCTCCTCCCCGACGACACAAGCTCTAGGTCAGACGGTGTGACTCTCGGTGGCTCACAGCCCCCAGGCGGAGGCGGGCACACAGCACAGCGGGCACAGAGCGAGCTGCTGACGGGATGAACCGAGACCTGTCACGGCCCACAGCCCACAGCCCACAGCCCACCGCCGTGCAGTGCTGGCCCTCAGCGCCCATCAGCCCGTGCGACTGCACGTGTCCCCTTAAGGACTCACCGGCTGCCTCTGGTCCAGGAGTCACCGAGCCGCCAGCGCTGCCCGCTCCGTGAAGACGCAGCCCGGCTCATGGCCCCACGCCATGGCTGCTCCGGGCGATCAGGAGAGGGGCACTGGCCCACGTGTCATACCGGCCGCCTGGCTCCACAGGTTTGCGACGCCGTGCGAGCAGAGAAGGGAGAGCAGGAACTGGCCCACGGCGGGCGGGGACTGGGGCCGTTCTGTCCGGCGGCCTCAGAGCCGCAGCTTTTGGAGGCCTGGCCCGCTCCGCTCCTGAGCTGGGCCCATCACGCACAGGCCACGGGACACAGGAGGCAGGGCGGTGCTGGGTCCGTCAGCAGCCCAGTCCCGGTCAGCTCTCCACGCCCGTGTTGGAGCCGTTCTCACGTGACAAGGTGGCTGCCCGTGGCCCATGCCCGCGCCCTCGGCCAGGCACCGCAGCACCGGCAGCGAAGTCCACACCAGGCTGGGGCGCTGCGGAGCGGCCTCGCGGGCTGGTCAGTGAAGGTTGATTGGCCTGGGCATGCCCTCCCAGGTGTTACCCTCGTCCGTGGGAGCGGGTGGTTCCCAGGCGAACAGCGGGGAGTCGTTAGCCTAGGAGAAACGGGCTGCACCCACTCAGAGCTCTCTGCCAGCCGGGGCTCCCTTGCAAGGAAGAGGCCTGGTCCCAGCTCCACTGCCAGGGCCGCCCCCAGCTCGGCCACCCTCCCGGCCCGACTGCCCCCCCAGCCCGGCCACCACGGAGATGCAGTTCACCAGTCATGGCAGCTTGTGATCTCATCTGTGCCTTTTGTCCTGGCTGCACACGTGCTAAGGGGTTCCATGCGCATACGTGAGAGTGTGCATGTCTATGCGTGCGTGTGCAGGCTGTCCCGCACCAACAAGCAATCCTCAGGTCCCACAGGTGAGGGCCCAGGCTCAGCCCACCCTCCCGGCTGCCGGCCACACGCCCCAGCTGCTCCTGGTGCCCAACACCAGCCACAGGTCGGGTCCACATGCCTGGTGGGTGGGAACTGCTGGGACAGGACCGAGACCACAGGGCAGGAGGGTGGCATCACCACAGGGGCAGGAGGCGGGCAGGGCGAGGCCTCAGGAGGCGTCTCCCTGGGGAACTGGCCCGGTGCGCTGGCAGGAGCATGGGGTCCCCACGTGGAAGCCCGAGGACGGACCTCGGCCTGACCCTGGGGCGCTGGGGCCGCACTACGTCCCAACTGGCTCAGTCAGGGCCTTCCCGCCGGGGTCAGGGCCAGCCTCACCCCACGGCATCCAGCCCCACCTCGGGCAGGACCCCAGAGCAGCCTCTCACACAGACACCACGATCACTCAGCAGCAGGAAGTCCCCGGGCTGCGCCAGCCGCGGCAAAGACCAAGCACACCTCATTAAAAGCCATCGCCCCTCACTCAGCCAGCACAGCCAGCCTGCTCAGAGCTGAGGATGAGTTTAGTTTCACAAAAGAAATGGGAGAGAGAGAGAAGGAACCGGTAGTTTGCTACACGTCTGTTTATTCTGTAACGAGGTTGGGAAATGTGGGGACAGCGTGGGGGGATCGGAGGAAGCCTGGCGCCCTTTTCCCAGGGCAGCGCCCGGGCTCCCCCACCAGCAGCACAAACAGGGAGGAAGGGGGAACAGGGCCGGGCTAGTCTCTCAGCACCAGCGGGGCCTTCACCTGCTCGGCCACCTCCTTGCCACTCAGCGCCTCCACGATGGCCAGCGCGAACTCGAAGCTGGTGCCCGGGCCGCGGCTGGTGAGGATCAGGCCGTCCTTCTCCACGCGGCTCTCTGAGTAGCTGTAGTGGTCTGGGCGGGAGAGGAAAGGGTTACGTCCTGCAGGCCACACGCACAGTGGGCATCGCTCAGTGATTCCACCCAGTACAGCACGGACACCGAACACGGGCGCCCTCACGCCTGGCCCCGGCTCCCTGTGCCAAGCGGACACGGGGGATTCCTCCGCACGGGTGGTCATCAGAACCGGCCCCTCCCTGTCCCTCCCTGTCCCCTCCCTCGCACGTGGAAGCCCCGTTCTGAGCTCACCGGGTCTTTCCTGCTCCCTCGCCCACTCACTTCACTCACGGCCGCAGCGTCAACACAGAGGCCTGTGCCTCCCCCTCCCTCAGCCGGGGGCTCACGGCGCCCTGCCTGCAGGGACTCAGCTTGAACAGTCAGCTCCGGGCTACTGCCTCTTCCACAGGCGGGCCCACAACTCTGACGGCCCACGGCCCCGGCTCAAGGACGCTCCTGTCCACTGCGCCTCTGCCCCTGCCCCACCGCCCGCTCAGCACCGCACAGGGACCTTCCCACAGGCAAACACAGCCCGCCCCCCTCCCCTCCAGCGCCTCCGCCCTCGCCAGCGTCACGGTGCGCGGCCGCCGGCCTGGCCCGCACCCGGCCCGGGAAGGAACCAGAGCGGCAGAGCGGCTGCCACCCAGGAGGGGAGGGCGGCAACAAGGGGAGATGGAGATGTGAGGTTTGCTGAGAGGTGCAGTGTCAGACCTCAGGGAAGAACTGGACAGAGAGGCATCAAGGATGCCGCCAGCGGTCTGTGCCAGCAACTGAGGCGGCGGTGCCCGCAGCGACGCGGGTCACGGTGACAGGGAGGGAGGCCATCCTACGGGTCCTCCCTGAGCTCCGGCCCGCAGCACACACCCTCCGACCCCACCCCCCACTTTCTCCCTCTCCTCCCCATCCCCCCACGCCCTGCCCGGAGCCTGAGGATGCTCAGGAAAAGCTGGTAACGACCCCTACGCAGAAGCACGCAGCTGGCGTCAGGATGGCCACACCGCGGCTCCTGTCCTTCAATGTGGTTCACATCACGCTAACGGCGGCTCTTCATCTCCCAGGACAGGCCTCCGGTGGCTGGCACGTCGTCTGTACACCAAAAGGTTACAGGTTCGACTCCCAGTCAGGGCACATACCAGGTTGCAAGTTTGATCCCGAGCCAGGGCATATACAAGAGGCAACCATCGGTGCTGCTCTTTAAAAATTAATAAAAACATTTCCTTAGGTGAAGATTAAAAAAATAGCCCAACCGGCCCGCTCAGTGGTGAGGGTGGACCTATGGGCCAGGAGGTCGCAGTTTGATTTCCAGTCAGGGCATCAGGGCACATGCCCGGGTTGTGGGCTCCATCCCCATTGGGAGGCTTGCAGAAGGCAACCAAACAGTGATTCTCTCTCATCATTGATGTTTCTATCTTCCTCTCCCTTTCCCTTCTTCTCTGAAATCAATAATATATTATATATATATATATATATATATATATATATATATTTTACATTTATATTTACATATATATATTTTTAATCCAGAGACCTACTGAGATAACGGGACACAGTGCATCAAAAACCTCCTTGTGACGCTACGGCAGCCTCAGCGGCCTCTGGTGTGAGAGGCTCTCGTCGCCGACCTCATGTGCGCGAGCAGGCCAGAGCATTCCCAATGCTAACCGTGGGGTGAGCTGCCGAGACTGGGCAGCGGGACGCACGATCCTAAATGGCTAGTTGCTCACTTAACAATCTCTTTAAGAGTAAATATAACAAACACCCTTAACTGGTGAAAGAAGTTTCAAGATGTTCCATGGAGCTTCTCAGAATTTCTACCAGGAAGAGCCAATGGTCCGCCCTTATCCACTACCGCCCCCTCGTGGCGTCGAGGGGGAGAACAGCGCACGCCCACTCACTAGCAGGGGATGCCCAGGGCGAGGACTGGAACTTGTCAAACCCACACTCACAGCCCATCTGCCTCAACGGGCTTCGGCTTCTCCTCTGCTCCAAGCAAACGCCCTGAAGACAGAAGTCTCTCCGGAGAAAAAGCACCTGGGAGGCACGAACACACCGCCTCCGCACCCCATCGCTGAAAGCCTTAAACATTTCCAGAATGACCTTCAAGGAAACCCCTTCAAGCCAACCCCTGTGCACCAGGAGCCGGGGTCATGTCTATTGTGGGGCCCCAATGAAGCTGATCACTAGCACAGAGGGGGCACCATCACCAGAGAGTGGAGGGAGGGCGGCCCCACCCGCCCTCCTCCCCGCGGCCAGGCCGGCAGCGCTCCCAGCGTGTTAGACACGGTAACTCGCTGAACCCTCAGCAACCCATGGCAGGTGCCATGTTACCCTCAGAGGGCGAGAGGAGGACACGGAGGCTCCGAGAGGTCAGAGCCTGCGCAGCCGGCTCCTCGCCACTGTGACCGCGTTCGGATGCTCTCAAGCAGCGGACGACGAGAACTGAGGAAATCCACCACATTTTACACCGTGAGCACTGGGGCGGCTTTGCCCTCGGGTGGGACTGCTCATGTGAATAAGATCTTGCCCTGACCTAGTAGGACGGCCTCGCCCAGGACCCGGGGAGTAACCCAGCTCCCCCTCAGACCGCTCCCGGGGCGACCTCACACGCTGTTCTCACACTGGGCTCACCGGCCTGGCCCCTCGGAGCCAGGGATGGGCACTGGGACGGGAGGCTCCGTCCAGATAACACGTAATTGGATCCTGTGGACGCCTGCGTTCCCATCTCATTTACCTGCCCCTCCCTTCCCCCCTTCACACTCTGGTGGCATCATAGCAGCAGACACAACGGACACACTTTCAGGCACGTGTTGTGCGCACACCTGCTTCCTGATAAATCCTAAGGACCACAGGAAGCCCGATTTGGCTCGTCTCTTGCCCTCCAAACCTCATTACCGCAGTCAACTAAACTCCCAGTGACGACAGCATGTGGTGTCAGTTCATGGACTGTGATCGGGTCCCACCTGGTGCAGGAAGGAGGCAGTGGAGAGGGACTGCAAGTGAGGGCAGCAGGCCCACAGAGCTCCTTCAGTTTGATTTTTCTGTGACCCTAAAACTGCTCTCAAAACAAGCCTATCTAGAACCCTCATCCTAACCCTAACCCTAGCCCTAATCCTAACCCTAGTCCTAACCTTGAAAAACAATTTTTAAAAAAAATAAGCCTATTTATTTTAAAAAACAGCAATATAATGAGAAATGCTTCCTTTGCTGTTGGATATGTCAGCTGTTGTCCTGTTTTAGTTCAAAACGTAAGCCAGAGCAGGACGGAGGGAGACACTGGGTCAGTTGCTGTCACCTTCAGATCCGCTTTTGATACTATTTTGTCTGTCGGTTTATTCGCTGATTTTCGGCTGGCTGGAATTTCAAACTCACTTTCCACGCTGGTTGAACACCAGGTGGTCCTCATTTGGTTTGTACTGGAAATGTCTGATTCTCGCGCCATGACCCACACAGGTGTGACTGTGCTTTCTGTGAAGTTCAGGGTCTCGGCCTCTGTCACGTGCACGCCAGGCAGACAGCAGAGGAGACAGCAGGTGTCTGCGAAGACACTCCCACTGCTGCTGAGTGCGCAGGAGGCAGCCCTCGCCGAGGCCGCGCTGCTCAGGGTGCGGGTGGACCCTCAGGGCCGGGTCACACTGAGCTGCCCCAATGCTGCCCCTTGTGCTCTGCGTGGGGTGAGGTGTCTCTGGAGCAGGTCCCTCCTGAGGACAGGCAATGGCACGCTCCTTCTACAGCCTCCAAATAACAAGCCTCCCAGAGGATTAAAGACATTTGTGACAACTGACAAAGAAATATGTAAGACGATGTTAGTTTTAAAAAGCAAGCTGCAGGACAAGACATAGCAGCTCTCACTGGAATAAAACCATTAAACTACAAAGGACAATGAGCAGAGGTAGAGAACGTTCTAGAGGCACACACAGAACTCTGAGCAGGTAGAGGAGGACAGCATTTACGTCACCCTCCGCCTGTGTGCTTTCTCACCTTGTGAACATCAGCTTCCACGGGAAACGTCTAGCTGATGCCGCGAAAGAAACGGGTCGCTGGCAGCAGCCTCCACCCGCCTCCGGCGGGAGAGCAACGTGCACTGGACCCTGGACCCTGGGCAAAGGGCACTTTCTGCAACTGCTGTCGAGTTAAGGTTTACCCTCGGCCACTGGCAACGTGTTTGGTAGAAACACTAGCTGACCCGGCCGGTCACCAGCACCTCCACCTGGGACAGCGGGAGCCGCCCCGCCTGGCCCTGCACGGCCTCTGCCCGGTCAGCCTCTCCGGGGAGAACACTGGCAGAGAAAGCGAGGAGCACAGCACTCCTCACCCCCAGGCAGCCTCTCCAGACGGATCACACCCGTGGGAAACGATGCTAAAGTGCAGCTTTTTGAGAAGGTCTGTTTATAACTTAGAATATAAGCATGTACTTACTCCCATTCATCATTTTGTCCTTAGCCAGTGGGTGTGTTGTGACTTTGCTTCCAAAACCTATTTCATGAGCCAACAGAGCCGTAGGACCTAGAAAGAAGATTAATAAAGATTCAAGTGTAGTTATTGAAAAACAAAAAAACCCATGTCTTAAAAACTGCAGGAGCAAAAATATTCTTCAAAACCAGGAGGCTCTTACCTAAAATATATTTATGATTCTGAAGTTATACACTTGTTAGTACAATGGGCAAAGTATCTTTCTATATAATAAAAGCCTAATATGAAAATCTACTGAACAGCAGAATGACCAGTACCTATGACATGCACTGACCACCAGGGGGCAGATGCTCAACGCAAGAGCTTCCCCCAGCCCACAGACCCCAGGCAGCCAAGGCAGGTGCCAGTGGGGACCCTCCTGACTGCCCTGCCGGGCGCCCCGCAGAGGGAGGCAACTAGCGGTGGGGCCAGCCAGCGAGCTGTTAGTGGCAGGGGCGGGGCCCACCAGCAAGCAGGCTGGTGCCACACCCCCATCACCCCCCACAGACGGAGGTGGACCTGCAGCGGCAGGGGGCGGGGAGAGAGAGACAGGGCCGGTTGATGAGCAGGCCAGCGCCGCTGCCCCTGCCCCCCCATCACCCCACTGGTTGGTGGGCCAGGCTGGCACCAGCAGGGACCCCAATCACCCTGCTGATCGCCCCACAGATCGGCCCTGATCGCAGTCCAGGGCTGTGCATGGATTTTGTGCACCGGGCCTCTGGTGTTTATAATAAACCATCTCCCAAGCACTTCTGGCAAGTGCACAAAATCAAAAACATCAAAAACCACTTCATCAAAAAGACTCACCTTGACACCTAAGGTCGGAGCACACAGGTCAACAGACTGTGGCCTCACCTCAAGGAACAGGCAGTATGCATGTCAGGGGTACAAGATGGCGAGAGGAGACCCTTGTCGTATGAAAAAGCCCATCCTTCCTCTTGACAAATGAAAATTTTAGTTCCATAGCAGTCCCTCCGAACTCCCGGGCCTCACTGCTATTTTAGAGAGCACTTTTATTTTCCCGCTTGAATCTAAAAAACCTGCACTCATCCATTCATCCAGCTAGCCATCCATCCAGCCACCCATCCACCCATCCATCCATCCATCCAGCCAGCCAGCCACCCATCCATCCATTCATCCATCCAGCCAGCCAGCCAGCCAGCCACCCATCCATCTATTCATCCATCCTGCCATCCATCCATCCATCCAGCCAGCCACCCACCCATCCATCCATCCATCCAGCCACCCATCCATTCATCCATCCTGCCATCCAGCCACCCATCCATCCAGCCAGCCAGCCAGCCAAACGGACCAGGTGCACTAGGAGGAGGGCATTAAAATGAGCGGAACACCGTCCGCCCTGGAGGAATTTCCCGTGAAATGTGTGCACGTCTGAGATGAACCTTTAAAGCTACTGAAGAGAAAAACCACACACAAATGATTTGCGGTCCTCTGTATCTTTCTTCTTAAAATGAAATTTATCAACATTTATTCACTGATATGGTCAACGTCACTGATATGGACAACCCCAAGCAGATTTTGTAACAGGTTCCTCACCTCAAGTAAGGACTAAAACCAAGAAGGTTTTAAACGATTGTTATATGATCTTAAAGACTTTTTAAAGTTAGTCTACCTTTTTCCTCTAAGACACACAAACACACACACGTTCTAAGCCCTCACGTCGCACCGAAAACAGGCTTCAGAATCGCACCCGACTCCCGAGTGGTGGGCACGTGGCCCAGGCCCCAGGACGGCCACACACTTGCTCTCAGCAGCCGGAGCACTAGCTCTCACCACCCTTTCCTTCTGCAACAGGAACCCAAGTAGAAAGCAGTTATGTAACCAACCAACAGGCTCCTCAGACCATAGCGGCTACAGAGATCAAACAAACAACACGGAATTACGTAAGCTTTCTGCCAACGCCCGCATCAGTTTCAGACCCAGTCCTGACTTACCTCTAGTCAATCAAAACCCTCAAATATAACCGATGTCCCTCTCCACCTTACTTTTATCCTCAGCATGAGACAGCTACGTATGGCAGCAAGTTTTAAAAGTCCATAAAAACTGCATAATGATCACTCACTTTTTTACTCTGATGAACTCACGAATGACCCTTCATTCTTATTTTCTAAGATTTTCAGAAAACAAGGAGTCATCACCGACATGACCGTATGTTTCAGCAAGCCCCCAGGTGCCTGAGCAGTGAGGAGGGGGCGGGCGGGAGACTCAGGCTGCTCCTCTCGAGACACACGTGCTGCCTCCAGTGACAGGTCAATCCCTTCACGTCACGGTTGAAGGTAGAACCCTGCTGATGCCTTACTCACTGGTGAGCTCATCATTACTGCTGTCTGGGGCTTCCAGATCCGACTGGAAAATGAGAACAGAGGAATTTAACCACTACTGTTACTTCAAATTCTGCAGAGACCAGCTCTAGCAGGAGGCAGGGTGAACGGTAGACAGAATCCCCTTAGACAGCAGAGAGGAAGCCTGCAGCGCCACCGTGTGGTGACTTACAGGAAGACCACCTCGGCCACCCCAGCCCCTCCAGGGCTCCCTGAGATGGTACCTGGCCTCAGGCATGGACCACTGCTGGCTCCTTCCCCCACCCTGAGTGAAGCTCTTATTTCCACAACAGTCCCCTTCCACTCTGTCTCACTCGCTCCGTATTTAGGACCAAGTTCCTCTTCTTTCTGTTCCCCGTTTGTAACTGCAACACTAAGGATCACCTTTCTCGTCACACTTCCCTTCGCAGCACCCAGGGGAGTGGGGCAGGATCCTGACCAACACAAGCACTCCATCAGAGCTGTCACTTTCTCGTGTCGGTGTAGATGACGCTCAGGGCTAGGCACTCAGGCCTGAGTGAAAACAGCCACCAGATGTGGCTGATAACCTGCTACCCTGACCCAGGACGAGCTGACATGTGGTTTGCATTCTGCAGAGTCTGCAGGGAACAACCCCAAGGTCTCCTTTCCTCCTGCGGTGAGAGCACCAAGATGGAGGCTGGGGCACCTGGACCAAGTCCTTACAGCCAAGCGGCCCTGCGCCTTCCTCCCCTCCCCATAGAGGGCACCGCTGCAGGGGCTGCCTGATAGTCCCCAGCAGAGACGCCCCTGGCCCGGGGGCAGGTCCAGAAGCTGGTGCTGAGCAGAACCCAAGGACAGCCTGCAGGGCGGTCCCCACCGCTCCCGTCTCACACAGCGGTTCTCAAACAGCGAGGTCTCAGGAACCCGCTGGCTTTCATGGGCTCTCTCTCGTAGTTAATAACTGCCCAGCTAGAAATAAAGCTGGAAACCTTACACCACCATGCTCGAGCAGACACCCTGCCCGAATAAAAACATCGGCACTCTGTTCTCCCTCCTGCGAGAGCCAGAAGGAAAAAGGCAAACTATGTCTCCATCGTACCTGCTGACCCTCCGGCCCCTTTGAGATGACGCTGGCCACCTTGGCTCATACCCAGTCCCGAGAATCCCTGGCCTACAACTATTGTAAAAACCCCACCGTACTGAGAAAACATCACTTCACCATTCAATCCATTCCACCAGACATGCATTCACTTCACTCCTGACAAGCATTTAATAAAGGCCTATGACAAGGAGGCACCGATGACAAAATCACACTGTGGAGGTCCCGGTTCGATTCCCGGTCAGGACGGGCTCCATCCCCTCGGGGGTATGCAGGAGGCAGCCAAGCAATGATGCTTCCCTCTCATCCATGTTTTTCTCTCTCCATCTCTCTCCCTCTTTAAAAAATGGTATTGAAATAAAAACATTTCTAAGTTTCTAAGCAGGGGGAGAGAGGGACATCTATGAAGCACAATGACCTTCCTCTAAACTCGCTGGCAGTAGGATCCAGCACCAGCACCAGCACCAGCACCGAGGGCCAGGCAGGAGCGCCGAGGCCTGGGAGCCACGGGCAGGCACAGGGCAGGGTAGGGCTGCGTTTCTGGCTGGCGATTGGTGCTGACGGTGCTGGCAGAGTCCTTCCTGGCGTGGAGATTCTGTAACAAGCTGTTTACTGAACTCCTGGGGGCCTGGCTTTCCTCCGAGGTCAACCAAACAGAAAACATGATGTGTATCAGAGGGCAGGCCAAAGCACGGGAGGCAGAAAAGAACTGTTCTCATTTCTGAAGTGACCCCCTTCAGGCACCCAAACCAAGAGCCGGTCCAGAAGCTTCCGCGCGCTATGAAGGGGAGGAAGTACGCGGACAAAGTCTCGTGAGGTGAGAAGCCGCCGCCCATGGCGGAGGGTCCGGTCCGCACGTACCTGCACAGATGGCGGCGATGAGGCCCTGGCGGCCATGCTGCTCCTTCAGGATCTCCTTCACAGCGGCAGACTGTGCAGACCAAACACACCGAGTCCTCAGTGAGCCACCGGCCAGCAGCTGGCCAGCAACTTCACAGAACCTGGGCTTAGCTTACTCCACAAGATCTGAAATCTAACTACTTTTAAACAGTACTTCTAGATATTAATATAAAAGTTATCAAACTCATGTTTCTACATTCCTCCCTAAACCCAGTCAAGGCACTTATTATGATATAAGAGAAAGCATCCTTTCCTTAAAGATGTCTGAAGTTGCCTGGCTGGCGTGGCTCAATTCCCAACCAGGGTGCATGCCTGAGCCGCAGGCTCATCCCCAGCAGGGGGCGTACAGGAGGCACCTGGTCAATGATACTCTCTAATCACTGATGTTTCAGCTTCTCCGCCTCTCCCTTCTTCTCTGAAATCAATAAAAATATATTTATTTTAAAAAGCCGTTTGAAGTGGAGACGAGGAAAACCGCTTTCCCTGGGCACAGTGTCCCCCTCTCCCTGTCAGTGTCCACAGCCTCGTACTCGGAGGAGAAAAGAAGTGGACACAGGGACTGCGGCATGGGGCAGTCAGCTGGTTACAGCATTTCATCATAGAGACACACCTTAATAGATACACCAGCCCTGGTGCTGGTTCCGCCTGCTTCCTGAGCCTGGCCACGCCTCCCCCCTCCCTGCAGGGACTCCTCACCTGCTGCAGCCCAGCCCCTGCAGCCCTCCCCCGCTCCCCACTGGCGAGGAGACACTAAGCTCTTACCCCTCCATGCGTAACCTGAATGGCACATACATTTTTCTTCTGCTGCTCAGAGGGGAAATGTGCTCTAACATCCGGACTGTGCTCATAAGCCACTGTCCACCAGCCTGACTGCCTTCTGTAGCATGTGTCATCAGAAACGGCTTTTTTAAATGAAGATGGATTGTTTACTTCACCTGTTCCTATTCTATTCCCACCTCTTTCCTGAAATACTTTAATAACAGCAAATCCACAGCACACAGGCCCAGGCTGAAACCCTGTCTGTATGCGGTGCTCACCTCACACGGACGCTGTGCTCACCTCACACGGTCTCTGTGCTCACCTCACACGGACTCTGTGCTCACCTCACACGGACTCTGTGCTCACCTCAGACAGACTCTGTGCTCACCTCACATGGACTCTGTGCTCACCTCAGACAGATTCTGGGCGCCCAGGTTTCCTCCCGGCAGAACCACGACATCGTAAGGCCCCTGTGACAGTTTAAAAATAACATTCCATGTGAAATGTGCATGAACGCGACAGTCAGTAAAACTTTCTTATTTTAAATATGGGTCACAGCAAAAACTGTTCACCAAAAAGTGAAATAAATTAAGGTGTATCTCTATGATGAAATGCTGTAACCAGCAAAACATGCAGAAAGTCTGTGCATGAGAGGGCATCCATGTTGCAGAAGTAGATGTAGCATGACCTCCTTCTTGTAAAAGCTGCATGTGTGTGCATATGCAGATGTACATGTATGATATACACACCCATACACATGTGTATAGTACACAAACACTCACTGACAAAGGAGATACTCCAACAGCTAATGGGGAGCAGCGTGGGATGGAGGGGAGGGAGGGAATGAGACATTAGACATTTTAACTTTCTGTATGTCTACTCTGTAAGAGTTCCTTTTCGACAAGAATGTACACAGTAATGAAGGATAGTCAAAAGAAAAACAAATTTTAAGTAACAGGCAAAGAAAAATATTTTTAACCTTATGAGAAATGAAACTTGGGGGAGAAATACGATGTAATGTTTTAGTGTCCCAATCACCAAAAAACCCTAGAAATCTAATGACTTCCAATTTGCTGAAATGACAAACTTATAAGGCTTTCAGATGTTAAAAAGTTTTAAAAATGTAGTCATTAAGCAAATTACAAAATGAAAATGTAGCCTATATTTAGAACAAATCTGTTTGTTAGAATTACTTTCAGATACTATAAACATCCCACTGGTGTTTTAAAACAAAGCAAAATTAAACACTAAAAAAAACATGTGAAGCATAGATTCTCCTTTACTCTTTGATTCTGAACGGGCCCACGCATGGACAGAAAGAAAACAACCGATGTGAAACACAACGGGCTGGAGAAGAGAAGGAACGTTTACTTCGACTCTCGCTTGTTAAGTGCTACTTGGGAAGTTTCATGTAAATACCAATATTCCAACACCCTCGACCCACCACCACAATACCCCAACTTCCCAGAAGACAAGGAACTGTGGTCCACACAGTGGAGGACGCTCAAGACCTGGGACGCAGCCTCCCAGGCTCCTCCGAGAGCTGGCTCTGCCTCCTCTCCGGCCAGACCTCCGCTCAAGAGGGCAGAGCCCATGGCTGGCAAAGGGGGCTGGGCAAGCCTGCCGCCCAGGAAAGCATCTGTGCCCATGTGCGGGCACGCTCCCGAGGAAAGAGACCTCAGCTCTGCCAGGGCCCACAGTGCAGGTCAGCCCTCAGAGTTCGAACCACAATTCTAAAGACCCTGGGAAAGCGACGCCAGTGAAGGGGAACTCCTCCTCCTCCATCCACCCGCTGACCAGGGAGGAGCCATTCACGCAACAGGATCCACACAACTCCTCTGGCTCACCGCACAGGAGAGCGGCTCCTGAATAAAGGCTCGGAGATGAATGGGGACACGGCAGCTGATCTACCAAGTGACAAAGCGGTACCAGGAGGCAGGGCTGCTGTGGAAGCCAGGACACTGCTGCCTGCCAGTGTCCCCTCACTCCACCGGCCCACCCGGCCTCTCACTGAGCACAGGAGGGACCGGACTGCCAGCTACGCGGTGAAGGCAGAGCCCTCCCCTGCGGGCGGATCGGGGGAAGATATTTAAGCAAAGTCACTTCCCTAAAGCAGGTCTGTGCGAGCAGCAGCCTCAGACGGACTCAGACCTCCGAGAACCGGGTGCAGCAGCCGGGGAGGAGGGTTCAGCAGAGAACCCACCTGTTTCCTGGCATCTTCCAGGCTGGCATCGGGACAGATGACGACGTCTCGGCTGCACTGCACGGGGTCCTTTCCCGCCAAACCCGCAACGGTGACCTTGATCTGAGAGAAAGAAAGAGGTCATCGTGGTATTTCACACTGAAACAGAGTGACGCTGCACATCTGTTCTGGGTTTTAGAGTGACAGGAAATAAGGCAACAAAGCCACGCCGGCGTTACACTAGTAAGTCGGTGAAATGCATTCACTAACGAGGTCTGTCCCCGTTTGCCTGGGACGGCGATTAGACACTCCCAGCGCCCCGTCTGGTGATGGCCTTTCTCCCTCAGGTGTTCCGGTTTGGGAGGTAAAGTCTATGGTCCTTCCATCACTAACCCACCGTGCAGCCGCTGCTGCCATTAGAGCGAGGAAATGCTGCTTTCTCTGGCAAAGATTTGCCAAGTGGACGACACCGGGAGCTGAGTGGGGGGGCAACGGGGAGGTTCCTACACGGCTGGTGGGTCCAACACGCCGGTCCTTGGAGTCATTTAACAGAATCTAGTAACACCAACTGGGGCGGGCCCTTCGCCCACCCAGTTCACCTTCAGGCCCTGAGCCTGGGAACCCTCGCGCACACCTGTTTGAGAACGTGAGAGTATTGTAATGCGTGAGACAACCCTCCAGAGGGAGTTTACAAAGACAGATGGCGGCATACCCACCGAGGAACACCAGGGGCCGTTTTAAATGAACTCCCTGGACCCACACGTGTCGTCACAGCGGAGAAGCGGAGGAATGTGGGCAGGGCTGCTCTTCCACTTACTGACTCCCCAGTGGGGGCACTTTGTTTAGTGTCTCTTGCCTCAGTTTCTTCAACTGTACAATAAGGATGGCAATTACACACAGGGTGGTTGTAAGATTCAAACAAGTTTCTAGAAGCGCTCAGAATGATACCTAGCACTGAGTAAATGCTATTTACGCATTCACAATGGGCCTAGGAGCACTGATCGGCAGACTCATCAGTCAACAGAGCCAAACATCAACAGCAAAAGGATTGAATTTCTTTGGAGAGCTGAATTTTTAAAACTTAAACTTCTTCTAACGCCATTTCTTCAAAATAGACTGGCCCAGGCCGTGGTATTTTGTGGAAGAGCCACACTCAAGGGGCCAAAGAGCCACGTGTAGCTCGAGAGCCGAAGTTTGCCGACCGCGGGCCTAGACGCCTTATATAGGTGTACAGCACAGAGAAGCACAATGAGAACTAGTCTCACGCTATTTATCTCTGGGTCGGAAGGGGAACCAGGAGCACTTTGCAATGTTCTCTCTCTTTAAAGCATTTGTTCTTCAAGAAATGCTCGGAACAGAAACAGGGCAAACTGCTGACAAGCATTAAGCGTAGATACTGGATAAACGGGTAATTATCATGCAGCCTGTTCTGTCTGAAATATTTCACCAAGTTGAATACTGTTTTATTCCAAAACGACTTTTAAAAGTCAAAGCAGGTTTCTAAAAGGGGGAGGGACTTACTCCAGCCCGTCTCATGATATCTACGGGGACCACCGTCTCAATCTCCTCCGCTCCCTTCGCCAGGATGACCAGCGCTCTCTTCGAAGCCATTTTCTCGCTGTGTTCTTAACGCCTGGGTTTAAAACATAAAAGGCACTTTAAAAACTCTTACTGCGATCCTGGAAGAGCCACAGTTTTAAAGTTTTGGATTATCTTTAAGCAGAGTAACTAAGTGCCGCCCAGGGAAACAGTTCTGATAGACCAGTGGTCGGCAAACTCATGAGTCCACAGAGCCAATTATCAACAGTACAACGACCGACATGTCTTTTGAGAGCCACATTTTTAAAACGTATACAGGTAGGTACATTGTCATTGACTTAATTAGAGTCCTCCTAAGCGGGCCTTTGCTAAAAACTCAAGGGGCCAAAGAGCCGCAGGTTGCCGACCCCTGTGATGGACAAACACCACTGACTATGAAAGCAGCATTTTTTGGTTACTATTGGTTTACGCGGGGTTTCAATCGCTGTGTTTTCTGAGATGAAAACACAGTACGGCTGCTCACCCATGTTCGTACTGAATTTCTTTGAAATTTAAAAAAACCCAATTTCTAATAACATATTGCAGATGAAGTTTTCTGAAACACAAGGACATGAGTCTTGCATTTCACACAAGGCAGTTTTCTCTTTTTGCAGCACGTTTCTCTCACACAGAAATGACGAAAGCGTTGCATGGGCAAAACACTAAATTCACAGTCTTTAGCAACCGGCCTATAAAATTTTTGGAGGGGATTTTTTTTTTTAAATTCCAATAACTGTACTAAAAATTCGGGGCGGGGGTGAGGTGGGGTAACAGTTTAAAATGTGATCACAGGCTTTTTTTACGAGGGCGAAAGGTGGGAATCCCCTCCCCAGAAGCAACCCGACTAGACAGTTCTTCCACTGACAGCGGCCACCCCGGGGTCTGTAGATTTTAGCCCCTCCTCCTCCTTCTGGAGGGCTTGTTGTCCGTGCAAAACAGACTGTATTTCACTACTATTCCCACCAAACCGGTGGATGCCATGCACACCCTTTTGGAAGTTTTGGCGTTGCTGCCGCGCTGGCAGCGGAAAGCCTATCATCTACACTAGAAGGCCGCGCGGCGCTCAGGCGGCGAAATCGGGGACCCTTCCGGGGGCGCTTCCTCCCGAGGCCCCGCCCCGGCGGCGCGGGACGGTCCAGCCTGGGGGCCGGGCACCCTCTCGCCGCCCGCAGCACCACGGCCTGCGCCGGCGCCGAGCTCCCCAGGCCCCGACCTGAACCTCGTCTCTCCGCCCACAGTCACCACTCCGCTTCCCGTCCGCGGCACTTCTGCACCGGGAGAGTGAACCGGAACCGGACTAACGGACGCACGCACGCCGCCCTATCAGCGCCCTCAGCTCCGCACTGCGCAGACGCACGCCGCCGGGCCTCCTCGCTCCCCTCACTGCGCAGACGCACGCCTCGCGCATCGCGTTACGTCACATCCGGCCGGCCGCTCTCACCTTGAAGAGCAGTTGGGAATGGGCTGCCTGTCTGCGTCCTAATAGGGTTCCCATTGGAACCTCCGTCACCGCGAGAATCCCGGGGACTCACGTTACCACACGAAATCCCGCCCCGAGTGGCCGGTCCGGTCCGCCCACAGCCCCCGCTGGGTGTGGCCGCGTTCCCGCCGCCGAGCGGGGTCTGCCGTAAGCAGGTTTAACTAGATGGCCTTGTCCCTTGCTCACGGCAGGAGCTCGCTGGGGCAGCATGAAAAGGCTCCGAATGGAAAACGGCAGCCTTCGCACCCAGTCCTCCCCACCCCGCAGCCCTGCTCTTCAGAGGCAAATAGTTCCAACCCTTCAAATTATTTCTCCTGGCCATTACCTCGGTATTATAAGACAATATGCGAATACTGTTACTTCTAAGTTCCTGGTTTTAAACACTATATGTTGGCGTCTTGGCAGGTATTAACATAATTTTCATTTCACAGATGTAGAGGTTGAGGTCCAGAGGTGTGAAATGACTGTGTAAGGTCCTGCTGTTCTGCAGTGTTTTATTTATTTTTTAAATATATTTTTATTGATTTCAAAGAGGGAGAGGGTGAGAGAAACATCCATGATTAGAGAGGATCATTGATTGGCTGCCTCCTGCACGCCCCCTACTGGATATCAAGCCCACAACCCAGACATGTGCCCTTGACAGGGAATAGAACCTGGGACCTTTCAGTCCCCAGGCCCACGCTCTCTCCCCTGAGCCAAACCAGCTAGGGCTGTTCTGCAGAATTTTAGACAAATTCAGATATTCTGATACCAAAGCTCACACTGCCCACCACAGACTCCCGGTATTACTTAGTAAGCCAGCGACACTCATGACACGCTCTTAGCGCTGTAGTGCAAACCTATTTCCCATCACACGTTTACAAAGTCAAAGAATTAAGCCACTTACCAAAAACCATTGCTCTGGGACTGGCAATCGAGACACTTCCTAGTCAATCTCTTATTTCCAAGTACAACAACTCCGTCCCATCCAACCACATTTTTTCATTCAACAAGTGGACACTTCCATTCAGCACGTATGGATGCATCGCAGGAAGCACAACCTAGAAGACACATCAGTTCCTTGCAGCACTTCAGCTTTCAAGAAATGTGAAGAAATTCTGTTCTGCCCTGTGGCGCTCACATCCCCAGGGAGAGAAACAGTGTGGCTAATGTCAGCGAAGGCCTTTGGGGAGCATCACCTGCAGACATGCAGCCTCCATATCGATCATGTTGAGTTAAAGACATCTAGAAAACAGCAGGTGCAGAAAGAAAAAGGTGAACGCAGAAGGTGAAACTCTCATGTGAGAACAGCCCTCCCGCCGAAATCAGTTTGGCTCAGTGGATAGAGCATCGGCCTGCGGACTGAAAGGTCCCAGGTTCAATTTGGGTCAAGGGCATGTACCTTGGTTGCGGGCACATCCCCAGTAAGGGGGTGTGCAAGAGGCAGCTGACCAATATTTCTCTCTCATCGATGTTTCTAACTCTATTCCTCTCTGTAAAAAATCAATTATATATATATATATATATATATATATATATATATATATATATATATATTTTTTTTTTTTTTTTTTTTTTTTTTTTTTTTTTTAAAGAACAGCCCTCCCTCTGCCAGGAGGAAAAGACATTTTTACCCCCCGAGAGGGAGTTGAGTCCAGCAGAATTTGTGCAAAGGGACCTTGTTAAAATAACTTTCCTCCTTTTAGTCTCCCCAGTTTATTGTAGTTACTTCTCCACACTCCTCTCTCTCTGTTTAACCCAGTAGGTAAGCATTTAGTTGTTGCCTCTTCTTTGGACCATGTCCTCATGGAGGCTCTCAGGTCACTGTAAAACGTGTGTTGAATAAATGTGTGTGCTTTTCTCTTATCTCTTGGTGTAAAGTCAATTCACAGGCCCAGCCAGAGACCCTAAGGAGGTAGAGGGAAAGTTTTTGCCGCCCCAGCATTAGCACGTCATCCATGGCCTTTCAGATAGTTGGCCTGATCACAACAAATAACAAAGAAACTGCTGCCAGGTTATTCTTTTCCTGGGACCCTTACCTCTTGCACCTCGTCTTACTGAGTAATACACTTATTCCCTCTGAATGCATCCTTTGTTTCATCGGCAGCACTGACCCCAGCGTTTTCTTGTCTTTTTGCCTTACACCTGTGCCTCTGCACCCTGTGGGCTCCACGCAGGCACCTTGCCGTCTTGGTCAGACCCTGGGGCATAGCAGGTGCTCAATAAGTGCTTGCTTAGTATCCTTCTAACTCCAGCCTGTAAGACGGCCCATCTTCTCTATGACTATGACTATGGATTAATGTCAACCCGTTTCTTAGTCCTATTTTCATCCTGACTTCCCAAATTCCTTTAACCAGGCGGCCAGTGGGAAGTTTTAGGTGCCGTGGGACGCTCCCATTTCCACCTGATTTCTATTCATTAAGGGGGTGCGGGGTGAAACGGAAGTTTCTGGGCAGAAGGAGGCCATGTGGGCCACTGAATAACCGTGTTTTTTTCTAAAGAGGTCCGGCAAAAACGGCGAATTTCCCCACCGGAGCCCCCGAAAGGTTAGGCCGCCGACGCCCGAGAAGAGTGGGCGAGCCTGACCTTTGAGGCAGCGCCGGCGCCGGGGGAAATTCTGACGCCGAGGCCTGCGAGGGGCCGGGGGCGGCTTCGCCGCTGCGCCCACCGCGTGCGAAACGTGCGCCACCCCCGAGCGTGGGCGGCCGAGCACCGCTCCCTCCCCAGGCCCGCCGGGCGCCGGAAGTGGGCGGGCCGGCCCGCAGTGACGTCAGTCCGTCCCACCCGCCTCGGCGCTCGGCGCGTGAGGGGCCGGGGCCCCGGGTCGCGTCTTCTGACGTCGCCGCTGTGTGCGGGCACGTCCGCCGCCGGGCCGGCGCCCCGAGCTCCGTTGTGGGCCCCGGGGAGTGTGTGAGCGACGCGGCCCCTCACGTTGGGGTTCCCGCCGCACCTCGGCCGCCCCGCGGGCCGCCGGGGGAGGCGGTGGCCTGGGGGTGAGAGGCCGGAAGTGGACCTTGCCCACCGCCTCCTCCCAGGTGTACGATACCGCGCATGCGCGAGGGCCCGGCGGCCCTTAACCTGCCCGCGCCCTGGGGTGTCCGGAGCATCGCCGTCTGGGCCCAGCTGCGCCCGGTGCATCCATCACCTCCTTGAGGGAGGAGGCACCGCCGTCTTCTGTTTCGGAAAACACTTAATGCCATGCTCTGCCCTTCCTGGCATCTTATTTCTGGAAGGGAAGATGAAGATCTGATTAGGCTTTCAATAATGGGTTATCAAAGCTTTAAAAAAAGGGTTTGGCTCAGTGGCTAGAGCGTCGACCTGTGGACTGAAGGGGGTCCCACGTTCGATTCCAGTCAAAGGCATGTACGTTGGTTGCAGGGCACATTCCCAGTAGGGGGTGTGCAGAAGGCAGCTGATCCAATGTGTCTCTCTCATCGATGTTTCTAACTATCTGTAAAAAATCGATAAAATATATTTACAACAAAAAAAAAAAAAAGGAAAAAAAAAAGCTGTAAAAACACCTTTCCTGCCCGGCCAGCCTGGCTCAGAGGTTGAGCATGCACCTGTGAGCCAG